ATGTGAAGCAAGAATGCCTCGATTTGTTCAAGAAAAATAAAGATATATATGATGCCAATTTGAAGGAGCGTGAAGCACGAATTGCGTCTCTTGAAAACGAGTTGATTAGTTTGCGAAAAAAATTCAAGAGTGCATTTAAGATGTTTGCAGTGAATCTTTGCTCATACGATACCATTAACAGTGAGATCATCGATATTAATAAGGATGGCGTTGTTAAATTCACCGGTAACTTTGCAAAACTCTTCAAAAGTTTAAAAATATATGTATTTTTTTAAATTCAGATTATCAACAACGCGTTTGTTGGTTATATTTCAACGAAGTGTTCAATGGCGTTTCTTCTGAAGCTAAGTTTAACAGCATGAAGTCAAATTTAAAATCATTCATCGATGGCAAAACCGTTTGTATATTGACTCACGGCAGTACAGGTAAGGCACTAATTCACAAATGAAATAAATGAAATATTATTTGATCTTAATATATTTTTGATTAAAGGCAGCGGAAAATCGTGCACTATGTTTGGATTTGGCAATGAAGTTGGAATTTTGCATCAATCGGTTTCAGAAATATTGAAGTGCGGAACAATTGTTTTGACAGTGTTTGAGATTATTGATAAAGATCGTTTTGATTTAATCGTCAATGATGGTATTAAAATACGAATGACCAATGACTCGAAACCAAATACAAAACAAATTCAATCATCTGATGAATTCAGTCAAACATTTCAGCAGGTATTAGCGTTAAGAGCTCAAAAATCGACCGATCAAAATGCCACATCATCAAGATCACACTTGATCGTCAAAATTTCGTTGAAAAACAATTCGAATTGCATCGTTTTTGCCGATTTGGCTGGTTTTGAAAGTGCCAAAAATAAAGAGAATCTTTCTGAAACACAATTCATAAATTCGTCACTTTCGGGGTTCAACCAAGTGATGCTGAGCATGTCACGAAATGAAAAGCCCAATTTTAAGGCGAATACTTTGACAAAGTGTCTTCAACCATTCATAAATGCAAACGCCGTGATGTTCTACCACGTGAATGCTTATTCAATGAAAACGTCCCTTGAAATGATCAAGGACATCATGGCATCTCAAAAAGGACAAAAAAGATTAAAACCCCAAGCATCTTCGCAACCAAACAAGATTCAACCGATGAGTAACAACGGAACACTTACACAATTGAGTACATC